ATAAATGCCAAAGTTGCATTTGCCTTCCTAACTACTGACTCAACCTGCAAGTTTAGCTTGCGAGAGTCCTGGACTAGAACTCCCAAGTTTCTCTGCACTTCAGACTTCTGAATTTTCTCCCCATTTTCTGAAGAAGGGTCCAGACCCGAAACGTCAGCTTTCCTGCTCTTCTGATGCTGCCTGGCCTGCTGTGTTCATCCAGCTCCACACCTTGTTATCTCAGACTCCACCATCAGCAGTTCCTACCATCTGAGTCCATACCTCTATTCTTTTTACCAAAGTGCATGACCTCACACTTTCCCATGTTGTACTCCACCTGCCACTTCTTTGCCCAGTCTCCTAACCTATCCAAATCCTTCTGCAACCTCCCCACATCCTCAATACTACCTGTCCCTCTATTTACCTTTGTATCATCTACAAATTTAGCCAGAATGCCCTCAGTTCCTTCATCTAGATCATTAATGTATAAAAGTGAAAAGTTGTGACCCCAACACTGACCTTTGTGGAACACCACTTGTCACCGGCTGCCATCCTGAGAAAGACCCTTTTATCCCCACTCTCTGCTTTCTGCCAGACAGCTAATCTTCTAACCATGCTAGTACCTTGCTTCTAACACCATGAGCCCTTACCTTACTCAGCAGCCTCCTGCATGGCACCTTGTCAAAGGCCTTCTTGAAGTCCAGGTAGATAACATCTATTGGCTCTCTTTGGTCTAACCTGTTCATTATTTCCTCAAAGAATTCTAACAGATTTGTCAGGCATGACCTCAGGCTCCTTGATGAAGCCGTGCTGACTTTGCCCTATTTTACTGCATTTCCAAGTATTCAGAAATCTCATCCTTCACAATGGACTCTAAAATCTTACCCACGACTGAGGTTAGGCTAATCAGCCTGTAACTTTCAATCTTTTGCCTGACTCCCTTTTTAAACAGAGTGGTGAATCTATGGAATTCGCTGCCTCAGAAGGCTGTGGAGGCCCAGGTCATTAAGACAGAGATAGATAGGTTCATGTTTAAACACGTTAGCGATTTTCCAGTCCTCTGGGACTCTTGCAGTTCCTCAAAGATCACTACTAACGCCTCCACTATCTCTTCAGCTATCTCCTTACCTCCTAACCTGACTCAATTAAACTGGTCAGTTTACCTGCTTGAAAGTTATCTGAAATTAATAGATTGTCATTGAGATTGGTAACATGTCAGTGAGATTGGTAAAGTGTCACTGAAACTAATAGACTGCCAACGAGAACTAACACCCAAGTTGCTAACTGTACCAACATTTCCTTTTTTGAAAGAAGTTGAGAAGAATGCCCAGTGATGCATGATGCCATCTCCTTAGCCACATTACAGATTAATGTCTGCGAAGCTTTGACACCAAGTTTTGGTTTCCAGTTCCTCATTGTGAGAGGAGAAAGACCACAATTATACTATGCCGTGCTGATCAATAACTCAGAGATGAAAGGTAACACTTTATGGATGCTGTAACATATGGAAATCACCTTTAATTTGTCTGTGCAATGGAGATGGAGCCACTGCCAAAACTCATTGGAAATCCTTAGGAGACTGCAGACCCAGTTAAGAACCCCCTGTTCTACAACATGCTTTGCAGCAAATCGCCAATCATTTCTGGCGGCAGCTCTCAAACCCGCAACTTTTACCACCTAGAAGGATAAGAGCAGCAGACATATGGGAACACCATCAACGTTAAGTACCCTGTGAAGTCTTAAACTATCCTAACTTGGAAAAGTACCGCCACTCCATCGTCATCTTGGACCAAAAACTTCAAATTCCCTCGCTAACAGCATTGAGGGAGTGCCTTAGCCACACAGATCGCTGTGATTCAAGGTCGTAGCTGAACACCTCCTACAAAAGAGCTCAGGATGGGACGAAACCAAACTGCCCTTGCCAACGACGCCCACATCGAATGAATAAATGAAAACATGTCAATCTGGCCACTGTGCCAATCTTACTGTACCCGCCAGTCCCCCGCATGCTGCACCAGATCACGTCAAGAATAACAAATCGAGGTAAGGGAAGGGGCTGGAGAATCAGAACAGATCAGCGCGGTTCCAGAACTTGGCTCTTCTTACCTGGTCCAGTGGCACATTGAAGCGGACACTGAGCGGATGGAACAACCTGGAACCCGTGGTTCGAAATGGAATACTCGGCGGTTCTGCCATTCTACATGATTGTGACACGCTGCCGTTGTAAAGAAGGAACACCGCCGCCTGGAAAGTCTGCTACCGCCAGCTCCTGCCCAGGCGCACTCCCTCGCTGACAACCGCTCGCCTTCCGTTAGCGCGTGCGCGTCAAACCGCACCCATTCCCCGCCCCACCCATCCCCCGAAACAACACCCTCTCGCCATCCTCGCGCTCTAATTGGCTGCCCTAGTGGGGGGAAGGCATCCGTATAGTTTCTGTATTTCTATTGGCTGCTGGAGCTGTCACTCAGTCTCGTCGGTTGAAGGGCGATTTAAAGTTTGGTTTGGGCTCGCGGTCATCAACTTGTCCTTTGGAAAGTGCCTGATGAAAGCGATGAGTCGTGGGTTTACGAGTAGTTTAACTGTGAAATAATACGTGTCTTGGCGACAAGGTCTCTAAGTGAGATGTTTGCTGGCAAAGTATGTTGAAAGAAGCGGTTGCAGAGGGCGTACCAAAGTGAAGTTCCAGGATTGAATGGTTAACATACTGCAGGTTACGTTTGTGCAAAGTGATTGCAGATTGAGTTTGTACAATCATATCTGCATTGTTACCTGTTGTTGTGACCAGTAGTAACCCTGCCAATCCCCAGCTAACTTACTAATTGCATTTTTGGTAAACTTCCAAGAGAGAGTTTCAAGTTCACACCCTTCTTGATCAAATGTAGAATGCTCACGGTGTTAATCATTATGCAAATCAAATATACCTTACACATTTGCCACATAAATCCTTTCGGATTACAAATGTTCCAGGCATAGTAAATCGGAGAAAATCTCACTGCCTGTAAGACGGCCATTGTGATTTAAAAGAAAAGACAGTGTGATTCGCTAAAAATATGTTCAAACGGTTTTCTATCATGTGGATGGTGCTCCCTTAGTCTGATGTTCGAAAGAGGCACCATCTTTGTTCACGAAGTTTTTAAAATTCCCCAACCGCTGACTGCAGCCTGGTGGCATATTTGCCACATACGTGTCACTTATTCCGTGCAATTCATGTTATGTTCTTGCACGCATGACAGAAAGGCATCCTCAGGTTCGGGTTCAGTTAAGCATTCAGCTAGATCAGATCGTTGATAATTTCTATATATAATCGTAATAAGTAAAGCGTAGGTAGACAATCCTTTCACTTCTGAGATCCCCTTCAGACATAAAATAAAATTATACAATTTATGAAGACCCTCAGTAATACAAATTATTTTTCAGCATGTTTATTATTGTTGTTTTACTTTGTATGAAACTTGCTGGTACCCAGCAGCAATTCTGAATCTATAATGTCAGTATGAGGCAGAGTGCAGTAGTTCAGCTTCAGTATTCTTGTTAAAGAATTTAATAATATGTGCAGAAACCAGAAGGATGAAATGTGGCTAATCATGTTAAAATAAATATCTTGCATTATATCAACAACATTATAATAACATTATATCAACTCCAACAACATATTCATATTCCACCAGCAAACACATCTTCCCCTCCATTACCCTGTCAGCATTCCAAAGGAACCATTCTCCCTGCAACACCCTGGTTCAAAACCCTATCACCCCCAAGACTTTATCTCCTTTCTATGGCACCCTACCACGTGTCACACCTCTCCACTACCATGGCCCCAAACATTCTTTTCGGATGAAGCAGTAATTTATTTGTACTTCTTCCGCTGCGGTGACTGCTCAAAATGTGGTCACCTTTATATTGGAAAGATAAACAGAGACTTTGTGCCTGTAGAACATATCTGCTCAGACCGCAAACATGACATAGACCTTCCAGTCACTTGCCATTTTAATTCATTTGCTTGCTGTCTCGCTCACTTTCTATCCCTGTCTGCCACAATGTTGCCGTGAAACTCAACCCAAACTTGAAGAACAGAATCTCATCTTCTGCTCAGGCCACTTTACAGCAGTGGTTCCTAGACTTTTTCCCATCGTGACCCCATTCTGATGCTTAAAGGTTGCCAGGATACCAGACTTGGGAGGGTGGGTGTAAAGGAAATGCCTGTGAAAGTGGTGATAAGATGATACCTGTGAAGGCAGGGTGGATGGATGCCTGTGAGTGCAGTGGGGGGAGGGGGGGAAGGTAGGTATGCCTATGGTGGCGGGGGGGGGGGGGGGGGGGGGAAGGAAGGCATGCCTATGGTGGGAGAAGTAAGTGCCTGTGGAGGGGGTTTGTGGCGGCAGAATAGAGGAGGGAGTGAGTGACCTATGACAAGAACAGGGAGTAAGACTGTTTAATTCACCAGGTTTTTAAACAAAAAACACCTACCTTGCCATTATAAAATGGAAATTAAAGTGAATTTCTTTGGACAAGAGTCCTATTCCAGTGCCAAGACAGCCTTCATCTGCCTCTAACACTCTCTTCCCCTGGGCATCTCTCTGGCCTCTTAACCACACTTGATCTATTCACTGAGAACTGTCAAAGTGACATCAGTCACCTTAATTTCTTTGCTCCCCTCATCCATTCTAACATATCTGTGAACTGACTGAATTCCATTCTCTCAAATCCAACTTTGACTTTGTAATCAAACCTGACGACAAGCGTGGCACTGTTGTTGTCTGGAATACTGACCTCTTTATTGTGGAGGCCTAGTACCAACTCTCAAATCTCCTCTCATCTCCCCTGGACAATGACCCCACCAAACAACAGGCTATTCTGTCCATGACTGTGACTGACTTCAGCTCATCTGAGGATCTCACCCTGCACCACAACCCCTGAGTTTCCCAGCTCATTGTCCCACAACCCCATACATCCCACTTCTGCTTTCTTCCCAAAATCTACAAACAGTACTGCCCAGGAGGACCCATTGTTTCTGCCTGTTCCTGCCCACAGAACTTATTTCTTCCTACCTTGACTCAATTTTTTTCTCCCTTGTCCAGTCCTGTCCCATTTACATGAATGATTCTTTTAACACTATGTTGGTTTCAAAATTTCCAGGTTACAGGCACCAGCCACTTGCACTTTACTATGAACATGCAGTCCCTCTGCACTGCATCCCCCATTGGGACAATCTTAGGGCTAACCATTTCTTCCTCGAAAGAAAGCCTGACCTGTCCTTTTCCACCTGGCCAAGCTCGTCCCCAATTTGAACAACTTCTCCTTTAACTCCTCTCACTTTCTTGAGATCATAAATATGGTTATGGGTACCTGCAGGGGCCGCAATTATGCCTGTCTTTGTTGGGTGCATGGAACATTACTTGTTCCAGACCTACTCGGGTCCCTGCCCACAACTCTTTCTTTTTACATCAATAACATAATTGGCGTTGATTCCCTCTTTCCTCTGAAATTAGGAAAACTTATCAATTTTGCTTCTAGTTTTCATCATTCCCTCACTTTCGCCTGGTTCATCCTGGACTTCTGCCTTCCATTCCACAACATCTGTTTCCATTCCTAGAACAGACTAGCCACTGATATTCATTACAAACCAACCAACTCCCACAGTTACCTTGACTGTACATCCTCAAATCTTGCTTCCTGTAAGAACCCCATTCCATTCTCCCAGTTTCTCTGTTGCATTTGTTCTAATGATGCCACATTCCACAGGGGCAGCCTCAGAAATGTCCATCTTTTTCCTTAACTGTGGATTACCTGCTACCTTTGTTGACAGGGCTCTTAGCTGTATTCAACCCGTTTCCCACACATTTCCCCTCCCCTTCTCTTTCCTCCTGACAACACTGATGGGGTCCCCCTGGTCCTCACTTTCCACCTCACCAGCCAGAGGATCATAAGCTACCATTTCCACAACCTTCAGTGAGGTGCCACCAATAGATACATTTTTCATTCCTCTCCCTTGTCAGCATTCTCGAAGGACCATTCTCCTGGTCCACTCTTTCTCCATTCATAACAGCTCCCCACAGCCCCATGGCACCTTCCCATGCAATTGCAGAAGGTGCGATACTCATCCATTTACCTCCTCACAATCCAAGACCCAGTTGCATCTTCCAGGTGAAGCAGCAATATTCCTGCACTTCACTCAATCTAGTCTGCTATATTCACTGTTCATAATGTAGTAAGCATGCAGTTGCAGTGGTGAAGGAGGCAGATTATATGTTGGCCTTCATAGGGAGACGGTACAAGTACAAGAACAAGGTTATCGTGCTATAGTTATACAGGGCATTGATGAGGCCACACCTCAAATAGTTTTGGTCTCCTTACCTGAGGAAGGATGTTATTGCTATACAGGGAGTGTACCAAAGGTTTACCAAATTGATCTCTGGGTTAGCAAGACTGACATCTGTGAAGAGATTGATTCAGTTATGATTTAATTCACTGGCATTCAGAAGAATGGGGGGATAAGGTGGAAACCTATAAGATTCTAACAGGACTAGACTGGTTAGATGCAAGAAGGATGTTCCTCTCAAAGGGGTGTCCAGAACCAGAGTCATAGTTTAAGGAGAAGGGGTAAACCTTTGAGGACTGAGATGAGAAATTTCTTCACTAAGAGAGTTGTGAGCCGTGGAATTCGCCACCACAGAAAAAGTGTTTGAGGCCAAAACATTGTGATTGTATAAAGGAGGTAGATATAGCTTTTGTGGCTAAAGGCTTTAAGGGATACAGGGGGATGGTGGAATTTGGGTATTGAGCTTGATGATCTGCCATGACCACAATGAATGGGAGTAGGCTCAAGGGGTCGAATGGCTTGGTACTGCTCTTCTATGTTTCTATATTTATCAACTGTCTAACTTCTCTTCTTCCCTGATTTACTATTGACAATCCTTTTGCCTGCCTTTTGTCTCTCTCTGGGCTCCTTCTCCACCTATCCACTTATTCGTTCACTCAAGTTCTCCCCCTCCCCATCAATCATCATCAACACAGGTATCACCTTTTCCTAGCTGCTATCAGTTCTGAAGACTCGCAACGTTAACTCTGTTTTCTCTCCACAGATGCTTCCAGACCTGCTGAGCTTCTCGAGCAATTTTGGTTTTTGTTTTAGATCTCCAGCATCCATAGTTCTTTGTTTTATTTTACCTTGCTATTAGGTTTTTAATTCAGAACAGCAACCTACAAAAGGGACCTCACAGCTGTTAATACTTGGTCAGAGGTCCATGACAGCCTTTGCTGCAACAGATTTTACAACCACAAAAATTTGACTTCTGACTCCATGTAGGGTCGCACCCA